TTTCCAAAATTCCAATTTTCCAAAATTCCAATTTTCCAAAATTCCAATTTTCCAAAATTCCAATTTTCCAAAAAAACCAAAGAAACCAAAAAAAACAAAAAACACAATTGTGCCAGGACTTTGCCTCACCCCCTCTTCCCCCCATGGTCTGTGCAGAATTGTTTTTTTTGGTTTTTTTTGGTTTCTTTGGTTTTTTTTGGAAAATTGGAATTTTGGAAAATTGGAATTTTGGATTTTTTGATTTCCTGGGATGTTTTAAATTTTCAATTTCCTTGGAAGTAGACAATACTACCACTTTCTCTCAATTCCAGAACAGTCTCTGAAACCCTCAGTGATTTGTTCATTAGGGTCTAATAATGCTCCTTCTGCTCCTTTAACTCGAAAATTGATAATACCTGACATTTTAGAATTATAACCAGTAAAATTGACATCTGCAATTTTTTCAAATGACATACCAATAATGAATTTGTTCTTTCTGTATTGACGATACGAAAAACTTAAACTGTCATGTACTGTATAGCTCTTCTTAAATAGTAAAAGATTTATGATAATGATTGCGCTTCAAATTCTGTGTATTTCTGGGAATTGCTTAATTGAATTTGCCAACTTAAACTACGGGTGGCATCTTGAAAACCTTTGTACCTTGTAAGTCATTTGTATCAGCATTACCAGTATCATTAATTCTTCCATAGATCATAGGATTAATTCCATCTCTTATATACATAATTGTCAGGTAAGTATCGGTTCAGTTCTTCACCACTCCTTGGAGTTCTAAATAAGGTAATGAATGCTCCAGTCAGTTTAGAAGATGATTTTACAATATTCATATTAATTTCACCACCACCAGCATTGAATGTTTGGGTGATTGTGTGATAACAATTTGTAATGTTTCTTATCTTTGCCATTCCGCCCCCTTCTATGTCCTGCCATTCTAACACTCAATGGCTGACAAGTAGCACCAATATAGACATCGTCATTTTGTCATTTAGTATTCTGTAAAATTTTGCCTTGGAGTAATCCACCATAACATTACATATTTTAACTAAGTTTAAATGTTGTTTTTTAAATGAGTGATTGGGGTTAAATCCATTGCTTATATTGGTGCCGGGATTGATGTTCCAAAGGCCGTTCCCTTCAAAATTGATATAGCTGTGGCTCATTAAAGGGTTAGGTTCTTTCAAATCAGAAGTTACAGCGTAACCATCCAACATTTAAACAATATCGGATGGATTGCGGTAGTCAAGTCTTTTGGGACTTTTGTTCCTTTCCTTTTTGTTTTTATTGTAGGGGTAGCATAGGTTGTTGTAGCAAATGTATTAGGTTGTTCTTGATTGATCTTATTACAGCACTTGCAAGATTATGCCCAACCAAACGGGTTATTTCTGGTGACTTTTCCAATTCTTCTATAACATGTTTGTATTTCTCACTGTGATGAACATTTCTAGTAGGTACTAATAACAGATCATCCATAATATCCCTTGTTAAAGATCCATCACAACCACCTGTGCCACTTATGTATAAAGTCTTACTTGTTTTGTAAACAGCACTTGGTGATGAATAGGCATTCCATAAGCCCCTGCGGTCTTCTATCTTCTCCTTGTTTGCTATACTTTTCTCTTCAGCATATAGTGTTCTATGTTGTTTAAAGTGATCATTTAAGTTTCTTGTAAAGTCATTCATTCTATCATTCCAATTTTGTTTTTTTTCATAATCACTGTAGGTTTCTTGACCGATCTTACTGAATAACATCTGGGCGCTTCCAGGCAGATCCTTCCAGGCAATGTCAGACACATCAATCATTCTCAAGAAAACGCATGAAAAAGGTTGAAAATGCTCATTTTCATCGAAAAACGCGCCGCTCACAGCGCTCCCCTCTCATATATATATATATAGTACTGTATTTTTGGGATTCATTGTGCGATGCGGTTTCTGAGATAGGGATCCACTTCAAGGCCTAAGGAGCATTACAGGTTTTCCAACTTCATTCTTCACGCAATATTGTTACATTCGCTATGATGCACGTTATATGGATTCCTTGACGGCACTGAAATTCAGGCAAGACGAGGATGGTTGAAGACTTCATTTCTGTTTTTCCTGGCTGCTTGGAAGCGGAATGCAAAGTTCCCAACTCCACCGGCAAAGGCCCGAAATGCAAGTGTCAGAATGGTTTCGAAGGAGACATTAGATGGAAGGGTGCTGAGGCGCATGGCTCTTGCAAGCCTGCTTGGTGCAACGTATCGAACTCCAACCAAAAACGAGGGCACCAGTGTGCATGCTTGGAGCTGTACCAAGGCAAGATCCACTGGGATGGAGCAATTGCAAAAGGAACATGCGAGCCAATGACATGTGTGGGGGAAAATGTGAATGGTCTACGAGGACCTGACTGCACTTGCTTAAATGGCTACCGGGGATCAGTGTTGCCGATCCAGCTGCCAATGGATGGTTCCGGAGTGGCAGGGTTTCTAAAAGGAACCTGCAAAGCTGTGCCTTGCAACATTACCAATTCAAATAAGGTTTTAGGTCCTGGATGCCAATGCAAAGCGGGATTCAAAGGAAACATCACATGGAAGGGACCAGTGCCCTATGGGAGTTGTGAAGCTTCTCTTTGTGACATTGCTAATTCCAACGGGAAACCAGGCCCTGCCTGTAAATGCAAGTTTGGTTTCGGTGGCAAAGTCCAATGGCGTGGCCCTCAAGCATTTGGAACTTGCTGGCCTCTCCATTGTGCGGGGCAGCATGTCAATGGTGTTGCAGGCCCTGGCTGCAGCTGTGCCGACGGTTTTGCTCCTGCTGGAAAGTTTGCCTACGCCTACACAAACCTTGCATCACCAGGGATAGCGAATGATATTCAGGCAATCGTCTTCAGATATTCGGGCAGAATCAACTCAATGGTTGGAAACTGCTCTGAGGCACCTTGCACAATCGAGAACTCCAATCGTGCTCCAGGTCCATCCTGCCGCTGCATGGACGGCTATAGCGGCAGAATCTCTTGGAAGGGCTCGATCGCACAAGGCAGATGCAAGCCCGCGCTTTGCAACATTGCGAATTCCAATTGGAATGGAGGCCTGGACTGTCACTGCCTCGACGGGTACCGGGGCCACATCTCTTGGAATGAGCACCAGCCATCCGGATCATGTACAGCGGTGCCTTGCCGGATTCCGCACTCAGACTTCGCACCGGGTCCTGAATGCCAATGCTTGCCAGGATTCCATGGCCAAATCAAATGGATTGGAACACAGGCGACTGGAGAATGCCTTCCTATCCCAAGATGTTCTCCCAACATCGTTTATGCAACTTGGCTGCAGGATGAACTGAAGGATCCTCATGGTTATGACTGTGATCCTGGGCAGCAGCTGGTTTTCCATGGGCATGCGTGTGATCAGGGGAAGGTCCAGTGGACTTCTGTGCGTTCACTTCTGCCTGGCAGGCGGGAGCATTCCTGCACTACTACTGTAGAACCGAGAATGAACAAATTAAAGGACTCTGTGCAAGTAAGCTTTCGGGGGGCAATTGTCTTTGGGCTATACAGTGTTTGACCTTGGCTATGCTGGGCAAGACACACATGCATATTGGACATTGGAAATATCAACTTGGCAAAACCACATTTTAACGAACGAACACTGGCCACAGCTTTTATGGAACGGCCGGCAGGTGCAGATGGGCTTTGTCCCTGGAATGTGGTCAAGATCCCGACAGCAAGGTGTCCCAACTCTTCTCGGCTGTTTCCCCGCAGCTGCCAGGAGAGTGTTCAGTGGAAGCAGCCGCACCTAGGTGTGACCCGCAGCTGGACTACACTGTTACAAGCCGCAGGGCATCGGGATATAGCTGTGGTGCCGGATCTGGCAAAGTCTCGGAAACCCAGCAAGTTCAGTTTCAAGGCCACCTTTGCGGCTACGATCTGATCCAGTGGGAAGCAGCAGTTCTTTTGCAGGAGCCAGCCTCGGACCCATCATTAGCACTATCCTGTAGAATCAAGAGTCTGTCTCACAACTCATTCTCTTGTGGTGAGATTCCTGAAGGTGAAGATCTACCACGTGGCTGCTTGCAAATGCACCAGGCCGCAAGCTTCAGGATTTGGGAGTGGCAGGAGAAGACCGCGCCATTTGAGCCCACGGCGCGCCAATGGAAATCTGTCTACTCCATGAAGCTCTTTGAGAATGGCATGGCGGCCGTTCGTCAGAGGCTTATGGAACATGTTTGTGCTCAATGGTTTTGGTGTATGCAGGGTGCAGTTCAAGGCTTTAATGTATACATGCAAGACTGATATGGAGCAAAGGTGAGTCTCGCTGCAACCTATGCAATTGCGATTCAGACCACATCAGACGATTCAAGCACAGAAAACTTGTTGAGCACAAAGTACTGCAACACCTTGTCTAGGCTCAGTTGTCCAAGACCTTGCCATATAATGTGCACTGGTAGTTGTGCGGTGAACATGTGGTGAACCCCCTTCGGCAAAAAAAAAGGTATCAGCTATCAACGATGCGAGTCTTTTGGGCAAGTGAGCGCTCAATTGGGATGATGAACTCAATGATGAACCATTGTAAAATTGTATAGCTTTGCCCATTCTCATTCGCACGGGCACGGCAGAAGCTGAGCTACAAGGCATGTCTCAGGCCATCACACTTGTTGCGACGCATAGGAATTTGGATAGGTGCTCCGACATGTTCCATGTCGGGAGCCATAATTACAGTGCACATACAGGGTGCGCCGACACATGTCCCTAGCTGCGACAGCTTGACATAGAGGTGACAAACTCAGATCCAAGATAGAACGAGCTGTCGAGCCCCAATGGTCTCAGTCAACCTGACCTGAAACAGCCTGAATCCAAGTGGGATGAGTCGGTTTGCAGGTGCCCAGGGCTGACCAGGTCCTGCTTACTAAGGCCCACACCTTGGTTGGATCCGGCTAGAGCATCGGTGTTGCATTCCCTTGCTGAACCTGATTGAAGGGCCCACAACCCAAGTCCACTGCAATGTTGCAAAAACCAGTGGTCGAGAATGTTTCTTCTTTCTCGTGCGCCAAGGACTGTTGTTTGCGGCAGGTTGCACTCAATGCATCTAATTTAAAGTCTGTGGTTTGCCCTTTATTCTCGAAGACTTGTCCCATGCCCGCGCTGGTATCAAAGGAAGCCGTCAGGGCTTGGAGGACTGCTTGGAAGCACTGAGGAACTTCGGTGGAGACTTCAGGAAAGGGCTGGGCATCGGCACACTGAGTAGCGATGGCTTCGCAAAAGTCAGATAGGCTTTGAGTTCAGTCGTTCTCCACCGACCATCTGTGTCTTTGCCGATGGCAGAATACTTCGGTAGGTTGGTCATTCGTTTCTGGTATAATGTCTCTTCCGCTTCGCGGGACACATTGTGAAGTAGGTCCGTGGGTTTCACGGTCTTGCCCCCGTAGTGGCTTTTGGTACCCGTGCCCTTTGGACTTTGGGAAAAAGTTGTAGGACCCGCATGTTGGCCGCTTTCCACACAGAAACAAGATGGGGCGTTCTCATACCCTTTTAAACATACACCAATGCAACGCATAGCAGTTTGACTGCCACAGCTCAGAGTCGGCTCCCAAAGCTGATCCTGATCGTCCTCCTTTTTTGTCAGATCTATTTTGCCGTATGGCCTTGCATTGGTGCGTATGACGCGTGGTCCTGCTGATCCATCACTCAGGGCCTGGCCGCGGGCACGACGACATGTTTCGCATGGAGGGCCCGCGACCAGGCCCTGGAGAACATTCTTTTCCATTGCCCTCTTAAAAAGGTCGAACGCGTCGCGCCTGGTCAGATCTCCTGGTGTGATGTTGGGGGTGGTGTCAGCTGGGGTCATCGATGGGCCTTTCCGCTCTAAGCATTCTTGCACATCAGAGGCACGTCTGTGTCCTGAAAATAAGTACAGGTGCAGTCACGGGTGCATATATCGGTTGTCGGTAGCATTTGAAGGTTTGCTCAGTCATCGTCAAAGCAATTTCAGCAAGTCGCTCACAGGGGCTTCCTCCCGAAGACACAGCCGTCAGGCCCGTCCTGAAACCAGGCGAAAGCGAATGCCTTCTCAAATGCAGGAAATGCACTCAGCAATGTAAGCGGCAGCTCTTCTTGTGACATCAGATCTTTGCTCCACTCCTTAAAGGCCTGCGGTATCTCTGACGGAAAAAGGCAGGTCTTGAGCGTCGCAGTTCTGAGCCGTTCAAGAAAGACATCGACTTCGAGATGTGGTTCATATGTCTGTGTCCATTGCACAAAGAGTTTGGCTTTACACCAGCAACAAAAAAGGGTCTTCTGGGAAGTCAGCAACACCAAGCTCTTGTGGCCCTTCCCTGCAAGAGCGGGTCCGGCAGAGGGGGCCAAGCTCGGTTGGTGGACCGACTGTTGACACCGGGTTCGGTGTCGACCAGGATTGCCCCGGATGCATAGTGCTGCAACATGATTTTGGAGGTTGATCACAGTAGAAACATGTTTACAGTATTTTAAAGATCTCTTGCACTGTAGCCCATCAACACAATATCGAGTAATTCATGTTCTTTCGTGCATGCTTCTTAAACGAGTGTACTGAAAGGGCAGCTGGCGAAGCAAATTTTTGGGCACAACATCAGAAGAAAAAATCATCTGGCTTAGGCTCTGACAGGCGCTGCAGTGCATTGGATCCATCTGTGCCACTGCTCCCATTCATGCAGCTGTCGTTGGTGGGCAATAGCTCTCGCCTGCACTCTCTTCAGGAGTCTTTTCCATTGAGCAGGGTGTTGCAACGCCCAGTCCCGCAATAAGGGCCGGCTATCTTGTGTGACGGCAGTGACTGTCAGGCACCTCCGTCTCGGTACAGAAGGCTTGCAACCAATTAAGGTCTTCACATACTAGGGCGTACCATCGCTGTGCCATTTGCACCAAGGACCAGAAATGCCGGCTGTCCAGATCTGACCACCTGTGCCAAATATCGAAGGCGTGATACCCGCAGAACGGTGTTTGCTGTCGGAAGGCCAATGCCACATGGACTTGGGACTGACTCCATTCCACAGCGCATATCCCATATAGTACATCGAGGCAAGTCTCTTGTGAAGCCGGTCGAAACTAGCGGCATTTTATTTTTGTTGCTTGTGAGTAGTAGAGGTCCAGGTGGCAGCGTTGAAAATAACCGCACTGGCCACCAGTGAGTTAAAAAGCTGTGTCTTGGCTTCAATACTCAGTTTGCAATTCAATCATATCTGCGACCGGTATCGGGTGACTGTATCATGCGCAACACCGAACTTGGTCTGGACGTCCTTGTGGTATACTTTCCCCCGATCTGGATGTAGGTGCCCAAATGCTTATAAGCACCCACTACCCATCATCGCTACCCTGAGCGGCTCTTTGACCAGTGGTGTGCAAAGGTCGGGAATGTGAAAAAATGAACAAGACTGCGACTTCAAACCCAGGAGTCCAGGTTTTGCTTGTGGGCACACACACAAACACCGGGCTAGATGTACCAGCAACATCCAACGACAACAACAGCAGTACCAGCAGCAACCACAACCACAACAAAGGAGTGCCAAATGATTGGCAAGTATGCCTAACAACTCAGGTGACTTCCCGTGCCAGGCAATAGAATCAAAAGTCCTATTTGCGCTGTCCTTTCACTCTTTTCTCCATATAGGTTGTCGGCAGCGCCTGACTGATTGCATGTGCGACATGTGTACCATGTGAGCGCAGTGCACGCTACTTTGTGCCATAGCGTCTCCTTGGCAACGCTAATCTACAGTATTTGTCAATATTTGGCAGTGATTCGAAAGATTTTGAAACCTGTTTGGTCATGTATAGGAAGAGTAGACTATCAAAAAAGAAACACGTAATCAACGAGAAATTAATGTTCTTATCAAAAACAAATTTAGATCATTAAAACCATATATCTCAAAGATCGTGACCTGCACAGGCCAAGCGCCACTCATTAGCGAAAAATAGTTTAATGTTTCCGCATCAAAAAAGAAATTATTGGACTATTTTGTTTGATAAAATATTTTTTGGGATGAGTGTTGTTGCAGTCGCCATAGTAGTAGTAGGTAGGTAGTTAGTTACTTAAACTAATAATATATATCTTCTGTAGTTATATAGTTAGTTAGTTAGTTAGTTAGTTAGTTAGTTAGTTAGTTATATAGTTAGTCAGTTAGTTCGTTAGTTGGTTAGTTAGTTAGTTAGTTAGCTAGTTAGCTAGTTAAGTTAGTTAGTTAGTTAGCTAGTTAGTTAGGTTAGGTTAGGTTAGGTTAGTTAGTTAGTTAGTTAGTAGGTAGTACGTAGTAGGTAGTAGTTGGTGGTTAGGAGTAGCAGTAGCAGTAATAGTAGTAGTAGTAGTCGCCGTCGTCGTCGTCGTCGTAGTGGTAGTGGTAGTGACAGTGGTAGTGGTAGTAGTAGCAGTAGTCGTAGTCGTAGTGCAAGTAGTCGTATAGTACCGTACTAGTAGCAGGAGTAGTAGCAGTAGTAGTAGTAGTAGACAAGGAGCATCGTGACTTGAGTCCTCCACCACTTGCCCCTGAATGGGCCATATCCGGTGACAATTCGTTTCCACCTAGGGTCTGCGAAGGACGTGCTGTACCCTGTGAAAGGTCGTTTCCATCTCTCCATTCGAGGAGACAAATCAGCTCCTCCCTTTTTTCGTGCCTTCCTGTTTGTTCCCTGCCTTCCTTCCTTCCCTCCCTCCTTCCCTCCTTCCCTTCTGCGCTCCGTCCGTCCGTCCGTCCGTCCGTCCGTCCGTCCGTCCGTCCTTCCGTCCTTCCGTCCTTCCGTCCTTCCGTCCTTCCGTCCTTCCTTCCTTCCTTCCTTCCTTCCTTCCTTCCTTTCCCTCCCTCCTTCCTTTTTGCATCGCTTAATTAATCTTTCATGGTTTAAATTTGTTTTTGATGTTGATGACAATTCATTTTTTCTTGATAACCCTCCCTATTGAAATGTGATCCACTTGCATTCAGCAGCGGGTGCAAAATTACGGGGTGTCGTGTTGTACCGTGACCAACTCAGCCCGAGTCATTATTTGCGGCGTGCTGTGCATTGCAGTGGAACCGTTGGCAACATGCAGCCAACTGCAGGTCACCTTGGGAAAGATCAAGTGGGAAAATCCTACTGGTCGACTGGCTGGTTTACTGACGGCAAGTACCTGGATGTTCGCATGCCCAACATGATGGACAACGGGGCTCCGCGACCTGGATTCTTCTTCCGGGTGCTTGATGATGACTCCCAAGGCTATAAGTTCCTATCATCCAACAAGCTGTTCCGGCTGAAAGCATCAAACACTTTGCCTTCCTGGTGGGTTTCAGCTTTCCAAGACAGGACGGCCTCCGGCAAGATTGATTCATTGTGGCAATGTGAGCTGTCACACTACGAGAACGGCACTTGCTACCAAGCCAAGGTCGGCGTAGCAGTTCAAATTTTTCAATCATCCAAGGAAATGTGCTCTAGCTGGATCGTCAATCTCAACAAGTCTGCTGACTTTGACTACTTTACCTACCTTCACTCTGCACACGAAGTTCAGACATATGCCAGCAAAGCAGAATGTTTGCCAATTGCAGCGCGCCACGAGCTCCAGTTAGAGATTGCGGAGATTCACAGCGCTGGTCCAGGAGCATTTGTGGTGGCCAGCATGGAAACGCGCTGCCGCCAAACCCTTCGCCCCCTGGTGATGAACCTTGTTCTGTTTGTTTTGCTTTCACCAGTCCTAAGCAAACCAAGGTTTTGTAGCCAGCGCTGCAGATCTCACCAAGTGTAAGAACAAAGCCGATGCACAGTGGAAAGCTCGTCAAAGGCCGTCCCTTGACTGATGTTTCCGAATGTCCTTTCTGATGTTAGGAAACCCATCAACCAACTGGTGTATTGGCCCCGGCGGAGATGTTTGTGCATGGCACATGGGGATTCACGCCACTGCCAACATGCCCACAAAGGGCATCACCTTCTCTCCCGATCATAGTGCAATACATTGCAAGGTGCTAACTTTGTGTTCCTTTGCGCAATTCCTGTCTGTGATGCCTGTGATTTTGTCACGTGCGGACGTTGCTTTGCACGGGCTGCATTTACTGACAAGTACTGAGGTGGACGTGCACACAAATGCTATTGTGCTGTTACTCACAATTAGTCATGAGACAATTAATTATAGTGTTTGATTTATTTGTTGAAACAGCTTCTCTACTTAGAAGCGCACTCAAAGCATCTGCACTCTGGAAACCAATGTTCCAAGCACAGAGATGCCATTCAGACCTCCGAAGCACACAACAGCAACTAAGTTTAGGCCGTTTGAAGTAAGCAAGGACAATGCCACGAATTTGCTGACTTCTGGGTGCATGCTGTGTAAGAGGACGTTCCTTTATCCCTGTCAAGATAAACACTCTGAAATCGGGAGCTTAAGCATCCCAAATTAGGATAAATCAGGTGTAATCTAAAAAGAGTAGCCTAGCGTGCTTGATTTTAGAGCAGAGGACTAAAGACATAAGAACATGGAACATGTTGAGAAGGATTGTGCCGCTGATTTTTTAGAGAAACATATTTGTTTTCATGTTTGTCAAAAAAGTCATTTCCTCTGATTCTCTAGAGATTTTAGATGATTTTAGGCTTGATGAGGTTGTGCAGTTGATTCTAGAAAGCATTATGTTTTTGTTTTGCAATTTTTGCAGTCCTTGGCTCTGCACATCTCTGAAGACTACCAATTTATCATTGTTGGATAGGTTTTTGATCATTGGAACCAATATCATGCTTTAAAGATTTAGGCTTCTAAAGTGGGCTGCGCTGACCTACCCCTCGAATCTGCATGGGGATCCTTTTCTATTTTTCTCACCATCGCAGTAGCAGCCTTAGATGTAGTCCATGTGGCGAAGAACCAGGACCATGTGGCAAGCAATTGTGGGATCGTGCACCTTGTGCCCACAAGTGTATGTCTTATGTTGCTCGTGCCAATCCTACGGCTCATCTCCGCAGCTATGTGACCGCATGTTCGCAGCGTCAGTGAAAGCCGTGTCTACGAGAGAAGGACTTGATTAGGAGAGCAAGGAGTGTGGCAGTGCTGGTAGCAGTCCAACGTGAGCACAAAATTAACTTTAGTGGAGACAGTGACTGAGGCATGATCTCCCCCTTTTGATGTAGTTTGCCTCTAGTTTCAATTAGACACGCTAGTCAACATGAAGCTCCGCGTGCACATATTTTTTGTCACTGCTTTTGTATCATCCGGCAGTGTGTTTGTGTGTTGTGTTGCCGGCCTTGCCTTGGCGAGTGATGTGAGTTCAGGTTTTCAAATCAACATACTGGTACTGATGACGATGACGAAGACGAGGACCATGATGAGGACTACGACTATGATGAGGATGAGAACTACGACGACTTTGACAGCATGGATGAAATGGATGACAGCATGGATGACACAAGTCATGCAATGGAAGAGGTCGACTAGCGAACACACTTCTCCCTATGGGGCCAAGATCGACATGCTCAAAGATGCTACTTGGAGAGCATGTTGTTGTTGATGTCGTACATGATTTGTGGCACAGTGGTGTGGCTCTGTCTAGAGCAAGTTAATATGGCATGGATGGTCAGACATCCCACTAATACGACATCCTGTCCTCAAGCTGCGGTTGTCCACTCTGTTTGAGTAGGGCAAGAAGGCTGATCCAAAAGTTAATGCTGCTGTTGTGTTTTTTGCCTGAAATCATGTTCAGATCTAGTCAAGGTGGCAAGAGGACACGTATCCTCAATAGATGTTCTGTTCAATGGCATACCACGATCAGCATCAAGGAGCCATTTCTGCGTAGGTCCGCATGCTTTGGCAGTTTGCAGCCATGGTTGCCCTATGGTGCCTTCCACAAAGTAAAATGCTCCCCATCTCCCAAAAAAGACTCCGGTGACCCTGGTGCTGTTTTTTAGAGGGGGATGGGGTCCCTCCAAGAATGGGAACCCAGGAAGATCTTCAAAACCGAAAAGTTGCCTAGGAATCTTTCGATCTTTGTATGAAGCTCAGATCCACAATTGACCAAACCTCCGAATCGAAGGGTTTTTCCTTTTCCCTTTGAACAGTAAATGTTTATTGATCGACATTCTTTGCTGGTAAACGTCCCTTCAGACAACAAAAGATTGGTGACGTTGCCGTGCCATGTGGTTCGCCGAGACCTCAGTGGAATTGCGTTTGTGTGGCTCCATGCCATTGGCGAGGGGTGCACATCCGTACGTAAATGCGGCGTGCCGCCGGTGAGTGTCACGATGGTGGCAGCCGAAAACCAAGGTACAAGCCGTACTTAGGGGTGTTTGACATGTGTTTTTGGCAATGGGTTGAGGGTGTTTAACAGGCGATCGGGATTGTTCATTAAATGCGCATCCGCATATGCACCGTTTCTGTGGCTGAGCAGTGCAAGTATCCTCCGATGAAGCGAGGTTGCACAAACTAGCACACGACACATGACAAATGTTCCACAGACAAAGATGGTTTGTCATGTTAGTGATAGTGACCTCAATTTTTGTGTTTATACATATATCTATTATATATTTATCTATTTGCTGACCTGGCGTGATTGAGTTATGCCTTTTCTTTGGCTCACACACTCAGGCTTCCTGGCTTTCAGATCAAGTTAGAGGTGCCGTTTTCCTTGATCCTGAGAGAAGCTACCGCCACCCGATGGTAGGACTAAATGGATGTCGTAAAAACCATGCCTTCATTTTGGACGGCGTACATGGAAGCATTGCGCTTTATGCAGGGTTTGTTTGAGCATCACCGGCACTTGACATGGAATTTCGTTGCTTTTTGGCCCAAAGTGCCTGTCCCGTAATCTGCAACAAGTCGATGTGGCCACCTTAGAGTCACAGACCCCGACCCTCTTGTCCCGGGTAAGATCGAACAAAGTTGCTGAAAAACGCAGAAGTTGAACTCACGAATGCACAATTGGCACGTAATTTGAACTTTGAGACTAGCACTTGCAAATTTCAAACACTCGGTCGCATGATGCATAACGCCTCGACTTTGTGATTGCATATGATAGCTTGTCATGGATTCGCTGCCTGCGAAGGTCCGTGAATGCCACGTTGGAGGCAACCCTGAGTGTGTTTTTGGCATTGCACCCTGGAAGTGCATGTCTTTTCCAGCAGATACTGGTATCAAGTATTTGACTGTCATGGTTTTTGGTTAAATTTGGCAAGTCAACGTGACTAAACCCTAGATCAGTTTGTTGTTGATGGGCTTCAATGATGGATCTACTACCTCACGCTCAGCCTTTCTCCCGCGGAGGGGTGAGAAGGCTCTACAACATGTGAGGGTCACCTGTCGTCCCTTCCCATGCCTGAGATGGCAGTTTTTCTTAGTCCCGCTGGGTCTGGGGTTGGATATTTTTTCTTCAGGCTTCTCAAGCCGAGACACCTTCTTTTGTTCAATCCGGACATCGGAGCTCAAAGACTATCACCGTTCCTGTGTGGGTATACGATTGCTTAGATGTGGCTGCACTTCACAGCAATTTGGCCAGTTTGGGTACGACCTCAGTCGGAAACAAGTGTGATGTGCAAACTTCATAGCCTTTTATGCCCACATGTGCAAGTGTATATGCCAATCAACCCCATGATATTGATGCCAGTACGACATCCCACAATGTTGTTTAATGCAGCTGCAACTCTTCTACGGCAACAATTTTCCATTTCATCAGGTTGGTTCCTCTTTTGCTTGCAGCATTGTCTTGGGCTGCTTCAATTCCATTAAGATCATTAAGGCACCTCAGTCCTGCCAACGACTGCTTGCAAATCATACATGGATCGACTCTGGGTGATGTTGTTCGCATGTGTTTTTCTTGTCCTGCATCCACTTGTTATCCTTGCTTAGACATTTGCGCTCATAGCCAGTCGAAGCGGTTTCCCAAACCAACCCCTTCTGTGGAAAGGCTGAAGGGTTTTGGACGCCCCGGTTTAATCATTTTCCATGTGGCTTGAGGCCGGCCGGAAGTGTTCGACCTGCTCGAAGTTTGGATTCCCAATGGCACAATTGTATCAAAGCTGTTGGGGGGCATATTTTCGCACATGCCCAGAGGGGACAGCGGTTCAACTTCTTGGGAATCCGAGGGCAGTTTTGTATCTGACGCTTTTGACTTGCCGGAGGTTTTTGGAGTCTTTCTTTCTTTGCTTGGGCCTACCTACACTATCCGAGACGTGGACTTGGGCGAGCTGGACAGACACCTGAATGACTTGGTGCGACACGGAACTCGTGAGAGTCAGCGTGCTCAAGTGGAGTCAGGGTGCTTGGCTCATGACGGGCCATTTGGATCAAAAGTCTGGCAGGGTGACCTGGCAGGGTGACATTCAGGTTTGGAGCCCCATGCCTGCCGGATTGCAGATGTCAGCTGACTGGTATGCTGATTATTGCTGATTCACTATTACGAGGTCTGGAGTCAGGAGTCCAGCTTCATAGTATAGTATTGACAAGTAGCAGGATGCCTGCTGCCTTTTTATTAGCAGAGCACAGTGCCAGTCACGGTCAGTCCACTCAGTTTTCAATCCAGCGCGTTTCAGTTACAAACTAGGTCCAAGGCACAATGGCACAGGATCGACATTATGGGTGTCCTTGTGTGTGTGACACCTTTTATTCATGAGCCATGTGGCACTTTGTACATTCCAGAAGGAAGACCCGCAAATACTATTTTGCATTATTTTGCCCGGTTCAGGTTTGCGCTACGATGCGCTACCTGCTGAGAAACCACCGTGCCTCCTGTGCCTCCCGATACTGCCTTCTTCCACATACAGTCCAGTGAACATGTGGGGAAGTGATGTTCTTGGCTCGTGACTGCACCCTTCTTCAGTAGCAAGGGCATGCAAGAAGAATGGGCAGTTCCAAGCAGACCAATGTGACGATCACATCATGAGATGCTTGGCTGGGGGAAAAAGCAGCGTTGGGGAGCATATCGCATTGTTGTTGTGATATGGCCGCATGAACGGCTGAGTGAGGGCATCGCGTGTGCTTCATGGCAGCAATGCAAATGATGTTGGTTGCTTTTTAGAAGCACTACTGACACCATCGGTGGCAAGGAAAAGGTTGCTTGCGTTGAGGTATGGATGGCAACAATCTGCATGCATAACATGGTGGTTAGAGAATGGGCAGCCACTTTTCCATTCAATGGGCTCGGCTCTTGCAATCGCTGCTATTGCGCACCTGAGGCTTACTACTAAACGCACATGCCAATAACACACAAGGGTTCCCTGTAGCCGAAGTTGCAGCACTTAGCCCACGCAGCACTGAGTGCAATGCTTGGTAAGTTTTTGTTGGACACTTGCACATTTTTGCACCTTCATACACCTTAAGGCTTACAACAGACCAAAATGTTAAAAGCATGGCCACCATTGAATCAGCAAACCTGCTGCGCCTGCTGTGATGGACCAAGTACCAAGTTGGCCAAACCGGCAGTGTAGTCTGGAAAGTCTCTTTGGCGTTGCGCGAGGGGAGTTGAACCAGAGAACAGGTAGGCATAGAGAGCATGGATTGTTGCGGGGGATAGCGGGGGGCATCCTACAACACACCAAGCCTAGGAATGGCAATGTTCTGAAGCAGGTTTCTTGAATGTGGGGTGCGCAATGCCTTGACTTCTACATATTCATGGGCGTAATAGTCTGCGATGGCTGAATTGCAGGCAGGGCATGTTTGTTTGGCTGGAGGTGTTGCCATTGTCCTCGCGTTGCCGTTGCTACTGGTATAGTTGTGAGATGTTGTGAGCCATCATTTCCATCAAAACTAGATCGTTTACACGCCAGTTGCTCACGTTCTTTCTGCCTGTGCTTGCCTATACGGGTCAGTTGCAGCTCGTTTCTTTGCTTGGCTTTGTGCCATGTCCGTCCCTGTCGCTCATTTGAAGGACATCGACCCCCCAACCAACCCACGACCAGGTGGCTCCTTACATGTGGATCCTAGCTCCTCGGCAGAAGTTCCCAGTTGTCCGCCGCGGTCGTGAGCAGATCAGGACCTGCTTTGAGCTATCCTACGTTGCAGTTGACCGAATGGAAAAGATATTAAAGATCGCGGTAGCAAAGGGAGGGGTGCAGCCTACGGGATTCTTTTTCTGCATGTGCTACTAGGTTCGGTGGTGATTGCTGGTTTGTTGATGTTTGTTGTATACGTTACGCTGGAGTACAGTTCCAATACCGTGGCTTTGCCAAGCCTTTTGCGGCTCATGTCAGACCTCCCCCAGCGGTTTTTCTCCAATCCCGCTAGGCCTTGCCATGCTTCTCGCAGCCTGAGGTCCTCTTCTTTCTCAGCCTGCTTCAACCCACCGAAGCGGTCCGAAATGCCTTGGATGGACCCACCCTGGAGGGGCAGCCGGTGCAGCCAACGGTGCAGCCAACGCAGCCGCCAAACCAAACAGAGGCGCAGGGCAATACCCCTAAGGAGTGTTGGGTTTGTGTATCCTTTCGGAACCGGGGGCAACAGTCCTTGTGGCAGCATACTGTTTTGCGGATGGGTCTTGCTAGCATGACACCAAGTGCAGCAGTACTCTCACAGTTGTGTTTAGTTTGTGGCCCTTAGCGTGCTGTTTGAACGGGGCTCCTATATGAAGACAACCATTTTCCATGGTTTTGAGTTGCAATGCTCAGCCCTGCTCGAATGTTGGAAGCTACGTGGTTTACTCCGAAGCAGGCATTGTTGTACACCATGCTTCATCGTTGGCATGCCGACCCCACAATACCCAGTTTCGTAGCGTTAAATGTTCGAGTCACGACCCTTAAGAAGATGACTGACTTCCTCCACGGAGTAGGAATGGCGCCCGAGCACAGTGACTGAAGTGGGCAAGTGTTCCATCAAGCTGGGCGACCACTTCGATGCCGCATCCAGCATACTCTTGTGCCTTGGTCTCTGAGCTGCGAGCTCGGCCGCAGAAAGAGTTTTGCAGGGAAGTCTTCGTGCACTCCATGGCCGACGAAGTCTTTTTACTAGTAGTAGTAGTAGTAGCAGCAGTAGTAGTAGTAGAAGGAGGAGCAGCAGCAGCAGTAGTAGCAGTAGTAGTAGTAGCAGCAGTAGCAGCAGCAGTAGCAGTAGTCTGAAACCTGCAAGCTCTTTTAAGAACACAAATATAATCAGTGTCAACACCATATTGACCAGAATCCACATTGAACACCCTTTTCCCGCATATGGCAAGATATCCCCGTTGCTACCGACAATCCAAAATGGGCGTTGCTACCCGACAATGTCTTATATGACTCGTTTAGTGTAAGAATAAATACAATAATATGACTTCTGAACAATTTGAGCCGAGGAAGGTACAATGTGTTCACACTCAATCTATATTGTTGGCTGTTCGTCCATGTTCGTAACTACATGTTTTATATTTTTTGATAACTCATCAAAACTCTTTGTTGTAGCTATTCTTAACCGTTTAAATATTTTTGAGCAGCTTAATGACTTGAAATGCATTTAACCTACTACAACCCATTGTATAATATATTGACAACTTTGGACTAAAATGAGCGTGCTTGACCTCTCTTCTCGGTAGCAACTAGGGTTGCAAAATCAACTTTCCTCCAAAAAACATCAGTATTGCCCACATATTTACTGATTCTGATTGCAATCCTACTCTATGTTCCCAGAATGCTGGGCACAATATGGAAGGGGGTCCTCCAACTGTAGGAGGACCCAGCCGCCGAAACCTGCAGCACATTGCCTTTAAAGCACATTAAAGAATCACATATGTCCAAGATCGCCAGGATGTTCTCACTTCTCCATCCATCAAAGCCAGGCCCTTAGACCTGGCCTGGCTTTCGGGCTCTGCGTTGATCGCCTTGGCCCTGATCCTCTGGACACCTGATGGCCTCTCCACCAGAGCAGTGGGTGCCCACAGTGGAGAGGCGCCGATGGACGAGGAAGGCGCAGATGAAGGCGAAGGTGGGGAAGCCTTGGGAAAGCCTTGGAGTTTGCTTGAGGTGGGCAGGGAATTTTGGAGTTGAATTAATGAATATGCTTTTGAAGAGTTTGTTGAACATTCCTTCAATTTGATTTTGATGTGTTCCTGAGTGGTTTTCGGTGTGCCAGACCTGACAGACGAGGTGGAGAGGATTCAAGGTCACCGGACTCCAAAGATGCACCTGAAAGCACCTCAGGTGGGATGGCGGGTCAGTGGGACCAGATGGTGGGGCCCAGCTTGAGATGAGGACCATGTCTTTCACAATTCCTCTCCCAGGTTCCATGCACCATCGGCACGGTTCCAGCGAAGGCAGACATGAAATAAAGGATCCCTTTATGACTCTTTTTGAAGGTTCACGTGAGTGCAGTGGCCTACCTCAGTGGATGGAGACATAGGCAACTCCTCACTCTCAAGACTGTTTTTGTGCCTTCTAATTAGTAGTGGGTCATGTCGTGGGTTCACAGATGTATGCCCATAGTGTGGATGCGCTGTTGATCGCACCATGGTTTTGGATTGAGGTCAAGTGCATTAATCAGGAAGGTAGGATGGGCAATCAAAGATGCCGCATCCTGCACGTGTTTGGAGCAACCCGACATCATCACAATCATCCTGTTAGAAACCAAGAGCCACCCATTAGTGGCCCCATATGGCCACACATGAGTTAAAAGTTCCACTCTTGGGGGGCCCATAGTCAGTGAAGCTCTGTAAGTTACTACTTCCATCGAACCACCGTGAGGTGCGGAAACAGTTCAACGCCCGAAGCTCGAAGCCATCGGTTGGCATCGGGTGGCCTTTGACTCGATCACCAGCCATGCTGCGGGCGGCTGGGCCGCATCCGAGTGCGTTGAAATATGGGTGGAAACATGAGATGAACATATTTGGGTTATATGGCTGTGGTCAAAGGATCCGTTTTGAAATAGGCCACTTGTAGATGTAGAGATGTAGAGGAGCCACCTGGCCTAGTGGGGAACCTAAAAATAGTGATGTGATGTGTGGCAGTGTGACACTGCCAGGATGGCCCATATCCGTTGTTTCGGTTCTGTTGACCTGCTAGTGACATGCCAAAAAAGGGGTTCTTGTCAGCAGTTGCAATGGATCAGGGGAACGGTGTTCGGAGAAGACAGTCCCAAATATGGTAATCAATGTACTGTAATTAGCTTGTATATGGTTTGATAGGATCGCCGCGATGTCGGAAAGACGCGCTCGTGCCCAAGTTCAGTGCAAGAAATCAGGAGGTTTAAGGATTGTTGTGAATGGTGAGTGGAAGCCTCCAAAGATCTCCAAAAGCCGATGCCAAGAATAAGGAATCGTCGGCTTCATTGGCTTTCAAAAGATTGTCGTGTCGAGGATTGTGGCGCTGAGCGACGCTTGGTCAGGTTTGGTGGCGGATTGCCACAGACAGTCCTGTGTGAGGCGACAGGCGATGCCCACATTCCCTTTATAGTGTTGCCCTCTGCCCTCCTGCAAATTAACATGGAACCGTTTCGGCCTTTGTTCCACTGTAATTAGAGCTGGAAGACTTCGAGCTCCTGACACAGTTGTGACTGCACAAGAATCCAAAATGACTAGGCTATAGGTGATGTGATTCGTTGGATGATTCCGCAGCGCCCAGGATGCATGTGATTTGTGGTCCATAGAGAACATTTTGCTCTACACCACTCTGGCGCTGTCCGTGGTTGCAGTTTTTGCCAGCTTCGTGTGCCCAAGCAGATGACACTGGTTGACAGTCAACCCTTCTGTGATGACTGCAAGTTGTTGGTCGTCGAACTCCAGCAACTGCAGAGCTACAACTTTAAGGGACACCTGTTTTATGCCATGCTACATCATTCTACCATATTCCACATGCTGGACTTTGCACTCACACTCTCAAGGATATTCAATGAACTTCACACCCCGCACTGAAGAGGGTCGATCCACCTGACTTCACGATCGACCTCATCAAGTCAAGTCATAGTCCTAAGCTGTACCTGCCGGCGCCACCAGGGCCCACTCCCCAGCCTCGCGGGACCTCAGAGGTTCCTGGGCGTGGACTATGCGCGGCGCTTGGCGATCTATGCGGCCCAGCGGAAGGGCTATCAGCTCACGATGGAGCCAAAGGACTTGAAAGACACAGGTGGGGTGACTGAAGGGGCATGATAGAGAGTGTGAACAAGCATGTGCAAGCTAAACAAGCACGGGTTGCTTCGGAACCTGACTTCGTTCAGGTGGTTCCAGCAAGGAATGGGCGGGCTTGGGTTGTTGGATGGAATGTGAAAGTGTATACTTGTTTTCAGCTGGTGTTCAACAAGGCCCACAGCTTTTGAGCGTTTTACTGAGCAAAAGGTGACCCCGACGCTCACAGCAGACTTGTTCAACCAACTTTTGACTTTTAAGGTCCTCAAGTATTCATGGTTCTTACCACACCGACAGAAATGCGTGGAATGGGCCATCAACTTCCAAATAAACACTGCATATAATCTATATACTTTTCCAACTTGTGAAAGAACCTCACATAGAAACCCGAATCGGACCATATCGGACTCTCTTGGGGCAGTTTGTGCTCCTCCACCGGTCACGAATGAATGGCGATACATGAGTATACATGGGCTCTCCCTTTTAATTTTATGTTGGTTTGTTTGTCGCATACCCACCACTGCCCCTAAGTCCCCTTCAATAGGATCTTGGGTTCCCACTACTTCTGACATTCTTCAGAGATCAGCAAAAAGGCCTTGGCATTGCCATCCTCCTCCTTGGTTTGCTGATGCTGCTCCTCTATGGATGTGCCACCTGGGCGTAAAAAGGTTGGTTGGAACTCAAGGTGTTTGAAGAGAGGAACGGTTTAGTTGCCCTGATGTTTGGGAGTGTGGGAGATGTTAAGATGCTTTGGTTCAGGGGCTATTTTGGGGCCTTTGCTAAAGGGGGTCAACCTCCTGGTAGAGGGGAGTTGTTCCCTGGTCCCAGCCCCACCACTGGTGAAGGCCGTCAATCATCAATGTTCCATTTTTGCATATTTTTGCGAGCAAGTGCAAACAGCTTGGCAGGTCAAAGAGCCAAATGCCAAACAAAGAGGTTCTAAAGACGACTGGGGAGTCCGTTCTGCTGACAAAGGATTGAAACTCGCCCAGCAGGTTTGAGGGGGATCCAGCTCAAGGGTGGAAGATGTTGTACAACTCACCTTACCTTACCTTCATTTTGCAGTCCCAGCAGCTCCGAGGTGATCGTCAAAGAAGCGGAAAACTCGGATGCGAAGCAGCAGGAGATAGTCATCGACAAGCTTTGGGTGGCCGTGGATATTGTTGCTTGACATATTTGCACGGTGGATTATCCAGAGGACCGCATGACAGGTCGGTGAAATAGTTGTTAGTGAGGTGGGTTTAATTTGAATAATGCATGCATGTTTGCCGTACTTTGTGTCGTGTTTTGTGTTGTCGAGGGCGCGCAAGAATCGGAAGATGTCATGTCTGGAACTATTTGCTTCCCTTGATGGGGGCCCAGATATAGAACTCCAAGTTGTGAAATTGAATGTTCAGTTAGGTGCGTTTTTATATTTGATCTTTGATGTAGGTGTGATCGCAGCACGTGTTGAATCATGTGTAGATGTTTCTTCCGTCAACCGTCCGGCCACCGTAACGTAGGACATCCTATTTCAGATTGGTGTTGGGTGATGCCAGATGGAGCAGATGGAGCTGGTTTTTGGTGAACGTCACCCCTTGCCCCCTTGTTTGTTTGCTGGTGTGTGCATCATGAAGCCATGCAATCACATCCCAGCATGCCTGGGAATTGTGGCGATTGCCAGGCAGCTCAGGGCTTTATCTTGGAACATGAGCATGTTTCCATGCAATGCATATGTATGTGATTATACATTGCGGTCCTTAGTCCTTCCGGTTGCGACTTCACCCTTCACCCGGTTCAAACGTTTTCGTTTTCTCCAGTCATGTTCGAGCCTGTTGGGATTTCGAGCTCAGGCCGCGGGAGGCATCGCATTGGCCCTGTTCTATTTCAACCTCCGCCGCTTGGAGTCGGAGAATGGCCGATTTTCAGCGAGCAGCTCCAGGCAATTCGAACCGGTGAAACAACTAGCTCTTCTGTAAGTCAATTCTGTCCCGGAAATTCGCCAACCCCAAGTGGCAAACTCGCTCGGCCAATTACTTGTGTGGTAAGTCAATGTTTCTCCATGGGCCGGTAGGTCTTTTGACAAAGGAACTCCTGTTTCTGAAGAAGTCCAGTGAAGGGGTTGGCGAAAGGCTTCGGGAACATGCAATGAGGTGACGTAGAGTACAAGGAACCTGGGGTGGCCGGGTCCATCAACACTGGGCAGAAACTTGGTAGAAGGTTCACCTGAATGAGAACAGCCACAGGGTGTTCATCAATTTGTCTCTATTCTTCGCATCGGTATCTTATGGGCAGGTTTTCTAACTCCATCTACGAAGGAAAACTTATATAGATATAGTTACAGTAGATGGGGTGCCACAGTGCCTTCCTTTGGATCCAGCAGGGAAGTTCGTCCATTGTAAGCAGAAGTAGTGAAGGGACAGCGTTGAAACGAATTGAAGACCGCGTCCCTGTTGAGTGCACCACACAATCTGTAGGGAACAGATGTGAGCCGCACCACTTCAGGTGGCCTGCACCGTTCGCCCAAGATGCAGTTTGATGCAGCATGCCATGGAGAACACAAGCTGCTTGCCTTTGTTACAACCTTCACGGCAGCACCCTGGGTGTGGGTGCGGGTGACTCACTCACATTCTTTTTGGACAAAGTATATCATTACCACTGTGCATCAAAAAGTAAACGCTCTTGTTTTCTCGGTCAAGAAAAAGGGCTCACGTAAGTCATACGTGTCACAAGCAACTCAAGGAAAGGGAATCGCTCTCCGCTCCCATACTCGTTTGGGATCTAGATTCCCGAGTATTGTTTTGGTGCACTATTCACACCTGCATTGAACATTCAGAAAAATCGAGCACTTCAGCTCAAGCCCTCAAAATCTTTCAGGCCTTTCAAACATGAAAACTGCACACCAACTCTAAAGTAAAGCACCTAACTCAGCCGCTGCCACATTGCACCCCTCGAATCCAGCAAAGCGCCAAGCCATGCCCCACCCAGCCGGTTCGCAGCATCATCAAGAACGGCCCAGAAGCCATATCAGCTTCATGGTGGATGTTCATCAGCAAGAGCTCATGTTCGCCTCAGATTGACATTCCGAGACCCTCACGAGAATGCTGTAGCCGAACCACCTTTGCTTCATGTAGTGCATGCCGTGACTACCCTTCCTTGCATCCGACCGCACCATCATTCTCCCATCATCCAGCCAGCCCACCGTGATCACCCCGGACGAAACGCCCTGAGGAGCCAAGGGAATTGACATGTCACTGTCAAACAACTTCTTCCTCCAGCCCCCGTGACGATGAAGCTTGACCGTCACAATGCCACGAGCATAGCGAAGAACCACCTCCCGTGTCATACCATTCGAAGGCTTGACCTTTAGGATGTCCATCACCTCCCCGGAGAATAGCCATGAAAAACCACGAAGTGGGCCTTCCCTCAGCCTCTCCAGAAAGACTGGCATAGACTCACCTCCCCGTGACGTGTACACATCATCAAAGAAGATGTTCTCTGGAAGCTCACCAGGCATCAGTGAAGTGTCCCACTCATGCCCCCTTCGTGTACTTGAACACCTTCATCAAAAAGCGTCCCTTCATGCCCTGGAGCACCCCGAGCAGATAGAGCCGCCCGCCGTTCAGGTTGAGGATCACCGGAATCATGTGGACCCCCTTCATCCCGAGGTTCACCCCGAGCATGTAGAGCCGGATCTGGTACAGGTTCACCCCAACCTCGCCCGGACCTGCCAACAATGCCTGAACTGCCAAACCCACCTCCTCCTCTGGACGTGCTTGACAACTCCGACGACACCACCATTGGGATCTCTGCAATCTTCTCAATGATGATCTGTGCAACTCGGTCACCAACTTCAAAGACCTTAGGATGTGGACCATGATTGACCATGATCACCTTCACCTCCCCTCTATAGTCGGCATCAATCACCCCTCCAGCGACCTCTAGCCCTTGGGAAGCCAAAGAACTTCGGGAAGCAATCCTCCCGTAATGTCCTCTTGGGATTTCCATAGCCAAGCCCGTAGACAGCAGCCTTCTCTCTCCTGGGTCGACCTGTATGGCCATGGTAGTGGAGAGGTCCCATCCTGCCGCCCCACTGGACCCCCTCTGAGGAGCCAAAGCTTGATCGTTCAACAGCTTCACCTTGAGGTTCTCACCGCCAGAAATCAGCCGCTTGACCATTCCCATTCCGACCTCCTTGACCATATGTAGGAAGCAAACTAAACCAGCTAACACAAGCAGCCAGCCCAGATCTCCGAACATTGAGCCTGACGAAGAACTCTCCGGTTCACCCTTCTCACACACCTCCCCGGCAGCAGAACTTGGCACCAAAGAAGCCCCCGCCAGCATAGCCATCATGCATCTTGAAACCCTCACGCTGTCCTCCAGCGGCAAAGAGTGAATCTCCTTCTTCACAACCTCCTTCTCCTTGTGCTTCAGCAACACTCCTTCACAAAACCTTTCCAGTGCTTGGGATGGAAGCGACTTGGTGAGGGCATCCGCCCACAACGCCGTGCCAGCACGATGATCCAGGGTCAACTCACGAACCTTCAAAGCCTCCGCCAAACATGAAGCCCTGATCCGTAAATGTCGTGTCCTCCAGCCACCGCCTGAGCCCGAAGCCAACACCACCGCTGCACGGTTGTCGTTGTAGAGCTCAAAGTTCACATCCTTTATCAGCAACTCTACCAGAGCACGAACTGAACGGCCTGATTGCAGACCTTCCAACAAAGCCGTAAGCTCTGCTTCCGCTGTAGATAAGGCCATCAGGCCTTGTTTCTTGCTCTCCCATTGGACGGGACAGCCTGCCAGCAAAATCATTGTACCGGACACACTGTGGCTATCTCCAGGGCTGAAAGATGCGTCCACCAAGACTTCAATTGTCCCTTCTCGTCTGGGCTTCCGCCTGGCCAAATCAGGATCGCAGTCCACTGGAACTTCAGGAGGATATAGCAGACCATGATCCACCGATGAGCGAACATATGCAAGGACTGCTGCCCCCAGCTCCAAAGTCCAGCTTGGTCGTTTGACCGCCCATTGTGACATCTTCATCACTGCCCATGAAATGTCTGGACGTGTTTTGCTGGCCAACCACAATAACTCACCGGTAATCTTCTGGGCTTGCTTCACAGTAGTCAACGATGGTGTTTCCTCCTCCTTTTCTTCCGGCACCCGGATGAAGGTTGACACTCCACCCCCACCATGTCGTTCTAGCACTTCACGAACGAAGCTCCCCTGATGAAGGTAATAGGTGCCGTCCCCCAACCGCTGAATCTCTATGCCCAAGAACCTCATAGGAGCACCCCCAGGTTCCGCATACTCCGGATTCGAAGTAGACCACACCTTTTTGATTGTGTTTGAAGCCGAGTCTGTCACCTCCCTCGCCCCAACCATCAGCACATCGTCCACATAGACAATCATATAGCCCAGCACCTCACCTGGTAGCGGAGCTCGTTGGACAGGTCACCTCCTGGATGGCCCACAGGTTTGCATCCTCCATAGGTCTGAACCCAAAAGTTAGGTCACGGGTGTCACCATCCTCCTCAACCACCTGAACCTCCCCCGGCATCTTCTGGAGTTCAGAATCTCTGTATACACTCCAATCTTTTGGTGACGTGACAAGTCCATACATCGCAGAAGTGACCACCCAGTGTTCATCATGAGCTGCCAGATCAGCTTCAACCAGTATGCGTGGTGGTTTCACGATCACAAGTTCACCTTGAGCTTTCGGAGCAAGGAGAAAAGCTGATTTCACATCCAGCGGAAGACAGTGCCACCGTTTCAATGAAGCAACCCGCAATGTAGACCTCAGTTGAGTTGAGTCTGCACCGGAGGCATAGACTTCATCTCCTGCCCTGGATTCCATGTAGTTTCCACAGCACACAATCCGAGCACGACGCCTGCCTTCCCCAGCCTTGCGGGTGAAGACTCCCATGCCAGGAATGATTTCTGCTCGTCCCCGATCCTCCGCCTGCTGCACCAATGCATTGGCTTCAGTTTCCGACACCCTCTGAATCGCCTGGTTCTTTTCAAAGTTGGTGATCTCCTCTCTCAAAGGTGGAACCTACAGAGGCAACGTTTTCCTGACCTCCCCAAGGCTGATGGTTCTCGTCTGCAAGAACACTTCCTCTTCCTCTGCCTCGGTTTGAATCGCCTCTGTCTCCAACTTCTTCATGGCGACCTGGGTGTCTTGAAGAAATGATTCCAACCTGGCATTCTCAGCGTCCATCTCATCAATCACGGTGATGTCCACCTCGTCCTGAAGATTGAGCTCCAGCCTCTTGAACTCCTCGTTGGCCCAACCTTGTCCACCTTCCAGACGACGCTGTGCCTCAATGACTCCCATTCGGGCCAATGCAGTCTTCTCTGTTAACCGTCTTCGAGGCTTGACAGTCCTGTCCAACAAATCGGCTGGCTCCTCCCTCAGCACCACCTCCTCAACGTCTTTCAATGCCGGCGGAGAGCTTGCCACTGCCATATCATCTGTGCGAACAAACTTTCCGTCCTCCATCTCAACAAGGTGGCCTCCACTCGTCAAGCTCATATCAGGATCAGGTCCACGAACCACACCGGCCAAACTCATCCCATCCTTTCGTTGTGACCATCACACGTTGACCCCACGGCATGAGCGTAGGTGTGACCATTCCCAAGGTGGCAAGTTGTTGTCGCCCCCTCCTTTCTCCCACATGCTTGGCCATCAGTGGCCAATACTCCTCTCCATCACCGGACGCCTTGATGATCGTGTTGATGGCTCTTCGAATGACGCCCACCTCGGCTTCAGCACGACCGTTGGCCTTCCAATCACCTCCGCTTGTGAAGGTACGGTAAATTCCTCGGTCTTCACACCATCTCCTGGTCCCCAGCATCTCGGCTGCCCCATCACTGTGTACCCTCCGGACATCTAGGCCCAAGTACTTCAGGCGAGCGACCATTCGTGCCAGGCATGCTTTCACTTCTCCTCCTTGCCGTGAAGCCAGGGTTTCCACCATGGTGTAATTCTGGATCTCGATTTCCTGGGCCTCCACTTCAAGACGCTTCCACTGTTCGAAGACCTTTGGATCTCCTTCTTGCCGAGCCACTTCTTCCTCCTCCATGGCTGGTAGAAGATCCTTCAACTCCACTTCATCATCCAAAGGAGCCTCATCCATCTTCTCCCCCAAAGCCAAAGGTAGCGCTGCCACCATCCCTTCGACCTTCTTGACCTGGATGGAGAACACACCCACCATGAAGTACTTGGCTTTCCTCTTCCTGTCGTGACCAGGTCTGAACGGCCCGCAAACATCCACGCTCAATGTCATAGAGTCTGGGTGTGGCACTTTCTTATGTGGTCGACTCCTCCCGCTTCCTTGAAGACAAGTTGAGCACTCACGGGAGTATGGTAGGTGGTCATTCATGACATGCTGCCTCCATTGCTCCTGGGTCAATTTGGCCATCAGGTGATCTTTCTCTTTGCGCTCCTTGATCTTGTCCTTCTCGATCTCAATGAGGATCCCCTTGACGACCTCCGTCTTGAAGGCCTCTGGCCATGCTGCCCATGAGCGACTGGCTGAAGTTCGCTCCCCCAGACTGCGAGACACATCTGGTAGTTCCTGATCTCGACGATGATCCGACATCCCCTCTAACCCGTGCAGATGGCTGATGTTTGTTCCGAGTGTGGTTGGCTTCCGTCTCGGATGACCCAAGGCTCCAAAATCCAGCCGGATTTCCCGGATCGAGTACTTCTCCACGAAAGTCCTCCATTCTGGCCAGGCAAAGAACGACGGGTAGTCCACCGGGTCCTGCACACCTTTATACTCCTGGGGATCTCTTGGCTGCTCCTTCAGAAACAACACCTGGCGAGTCCTTGCGGCCGCCGCCCGAGAGTAGAGCCACAACTGCCTCATCCATAGAACCGCATCATTGAACGCCAGCTCCCTCATGGAATCCGACAAATCCTCCAAAGCAAAACGCTGTGGCCCACTCCGAGACCTCAAAGGAGGTGGACCTGGCTGGCGAAACCTGAGCTTCGATACAGTTCTGCAAGGCGGCCCACCCAGGATGACATCAACCGCCCCTTTCTCACACAGCTCTGCCAAGAAGCTGACCAATTGGTCTGACAAGAGATCTTGAGATGGATCAATCATCTTGTCCAGACATAGAACCGTCCTCGACGAAGATTCCAGCCTTTTCTTCCACCAGGATGCATCAGGCCCAGAGAACAAGTGCAGGATGATGGACTCACTGTCCAGAAGTCGTTTCCGTTGGTGTCGATTCAATGGCACCAGCTCCCCCGTCCATTTCCCAGACGGAACCACACGAGCCAAAAGTTCATCTGGCACCTCTGGCCAAAGCTGTCGAAGCTCCATCAACCAGCGCCAAATGTTCGGCGACAGGTCACCAGGGTCACCCGCCTTCAAGGCATTGACTCGCTTCACCATCTCTGTCTCCTGCTCCTCCAACTCCTTGATCAAGCGACGTGCCACTTGCAGATCCACAGTCGGACACCCAGCTTCTAGGAGCACCTCAATCTTTGCTCCCTTTGGATCAAGCATCTCAAACTCCTCACCCTCCCAAGTGACCTTGTAGCCGAGCTTCACGACCTTGCCCAGAGGAATGATGAGTTGGGTATCAAAGTCTGTCACCAAGGTGCCTGTAGACTGCACCTGTCGCAGCGTAGCCACTCCTGCTGCCAGCTCAACCTGAATAGGAAGTGCTTGTTCAAACTCGGCTTTCGATCGAGCAGGTCTGAGAATGTGTGTCGCACCACCATCCAAAAGTGCCCGAAGGTGACCATCGCCCTTGTTCACGGCACAAATCGAGACCGCTTTCACTCACGGCCTCAAAGACTTCAGCAGCTGCACCGCCTCCTTGACAAGAGCTTCTGCTGGAGGTGGATCTTGGATCGCAGGAGGCAGAAACATCCCATTTCCACCCGACTGTGAACTCCCGCCCTCTGCAGTCTTCACCTCCGACTCCCGACTCTTCCGATCCTCCGTCACCCCCTTCTTCACAAACGGAGTGTCCTTGACGGGGCAGTCAGGCTTCATGTGTTGAGTTGACCCACAATTCCAGCACCTGCCTTGCTTGCTCACCCCCTTCCATTCATGCGGGAATGTGCACTTGTGGCCTTTCTTGCAACCAGAGTCTGACAGGAAGTAGCGGCAAATAGGTCGGTCTGTCATGCCGGATTTGGAGTCACCTTTGCCACCCTTCCCCTCTGCCTTGCCATTCTTTCCATCTTTACCATCTCGAGCCTCCTTGTGGTCTGCTGAATCCTTTGGCTTCTCCTTGACATCCTTCTTCACCAGGTCGTCCTTGCCGCCAGGTGCTTCCCCATCCAAAGCCTTGACCTTCACATTCTCCTTGATGGGCAAGGTTGAACCTCCATGGAAAACAGCCTCCCCTTCCGCCAGCAAGGATTCCGAGAACTGCTGAATGCTCTGCTCAGTGGGTGCAGTGTCCACCCTCAAGGCCGCCCTCGTCACCTGCAATCTAAAAGCGACCTGCGGTGAATGCTTTCCCAACCCTGCCGCAAAACGATCCAACGTGGATAAAAGGAGAACCGGATCTGGTGGTTGTATTCCTAGCTCCTGCACCCTGGTAAGCCACCTTCTCCACGAGCGCAAAGCCACCATCCATTCGCTCAAAGGCACTGGCACCTTCTGATCCACCAACTGCTTAAGTAGTGTTGTCCTCTCCCCCAAGCCTCCTGGTTGGTAGACACGAAGCACCTTGAACATGATGCCGATTGAGCCAACCTCACGCTGGGCAACCAGTTCCGACCTCAAAGATTCCGGCAAAGCCTTAAGCAAAGCCACTGAGCCACGTTGCTCAATCCTCAGCCAAGGAGCCACCTGAAATGCCGGAGGAGACACAGGTGCCAGGCGAAGTCTCTCCATGGGCTCCGAACCCAACCACACCCGGTAAAGAGCACCCGCAACACGAAGGACCTCATCCCACCAGTACGACAAGCTTGAACTCATGTCGCGCAAAAACGGTCCAATGGTGGTGATCCAATCTCCTGCGACAAGAGGCCCTACCTCCGACTCCGACAACTCAGGCAAAACCGGTAAATCGACTGCCCGGACTGATTCTTGTTGTGCCATCAGTCCCCCAAGCCATGCTGGTAGCTGACCAAATGGTTGGCCAGCTGCACCACCTCCTGGTGGAGCACCCGGAAAGCCTCCTCCGCCCGGCGGACCGCCAGGAAAACCTCCGCCACCTGGTGGACCTCCATGAGGAAAACTTCCACCTTCTGGTACACCACCTGGTAGTCCTCCTGGAAAACCCGGTCCTCCACATGGAAACCCTCCTCCACCAGAATGTCCATTCGGCTCATTGGGAAAGCCTCCTCCACCCGGAGCTCCACCTCCTGGCGAGTTGCCGCCAGCCCCTGCCGATGGCTCCCCATGCGGTGCACCTGAGCCCCCATAGCCCGAAGCTCCATCATTTCCCCCACTAGGTTGCCCTGCTTGAAGACCAGAACCTTCTGGAGGATCATGAGGTAGTGAATCTTGCCCCACACCTCCAGTACCCGGCCCAGAACCTCCTCCCAACTGACCACCAGATCGAGCACTTGGTTGCTGACCACCACCAAGACCGCTCGAGACAGTCTGTCCAGAGCTCCTTTGTAGATGCGGTGCCAAAGAGCTCGCTGCCCCCGCCACCATATTGAAAACTTCCAACAAGCTACCCCTTGCTGTAGGCCCTTGCCCTCCGTGAACTCCCGATCCGTGTCCACCAAATCCTCCCGAAACAGGTCCTCCATAAACTCCCGAACCAGGATGAAGGAAAGGAAAACCACCAGACCTCTCACTAGGCATAGCATGGCATAGCCAAATTGCCCAACAGTCCTCTATCTCCAGGAAGGGATTGGGAAGTCACTGAACTCTTCAACAAGTCCATCACCATAGACATGGGGTTCCGATCCCAACCATGCCCATCACCCATCATTCCACCGAGCCACGCTTGCTGCGGACCACCAGCTCCATGCGAATGGCCCCAAGCCGCATGCCCAGCAGACATAGCTTCCCTCTCCTGCCACAAACGGGCGTTCTCCTGGAGCAAGCTTTGCACCATCACCCTAAAGGCGTCCGACTGCTCTCGAGGTGGGCTAGTCGAAGAGGTCACTTGAGGAAAAGGTTCCGTCCCCTCCTGAGGTAGGTGAGTCGGCCGACACGCACGAAGAATCGCCTCCTCCCGCACCGAGCCGCTCCAGAACGGGTTCACCTCAGGTCCTAGGGACACAGGAGGGCCAACCGGCCCTGTCAAAGCTCCATGGCTCGCCTGAATGTCCTCAATAGCCTTCGGGCCATTGGATTCCGGGGTTCTTTCGCTGTTCCCCTCCGACATGGCTCGAAAGTAGAAAAAAGATGCGTCACTTTGGGCTCATAACCCACTGTGCATCAAAAAGTAAACGCTCTTGTTTTCTCGGTCAAGAAAAAGGGCTCACGTAAGTCATACGTGTCACAAGCAACTCAAGGAAAGGGAATCGCTATTACAATACACAACTTGATATGAAAGAGCGTCTCGGCTCTAGATTGACTAGATTTGACTCAGATTTGACCCTTTGTGCTGCCCAGGTATGCACATCCCGTTTTGGGTTTAGGCCCAAGAAGTCAGCGCAACAGGTCCCCACAATTGATCAGCATCCTTGACGACTGGCCTTTTGAATACGTGCATGGCTGTGTGTCCATTTCTCTCAGCACCTCGAGGCCAATGATAGATATTGGCAATGGAGACATTCTTCTTATATAGTTGTGTTCAAAAAGCTAGCATTGGTACGCATTTGGGGAGCACTTTGCCATTTGAATCCTGGGATTTGGTTTGAACTGACGTGGACCGCCGTGTCATGGAAGTACTTTGCCAAGAAGGGTCAAATTTCAGCTCCATCAGAACATGGGGGGCACCATTGCGACATCACCCGCTGAGTGCATAAACAATTTCACCAAGCAGCGGTGAAATGTGACTTGAATGAGAGGTGTGTAGGGGAGCAGAATTCACATATTCAGTTTGTCCAGTTCCAAGTCAGCAGTGAGCCTGGCTGGCTTGGCTTTGGTGGCAGGTAATGGGTTCTTGAGGGCACACAGTAGCGGCCAAAAGGATACTCCTATTGACCTGTGGTAGACGGTTTTGATCTCAACGAATTGTTTTTCTTTCTCCAGACCTACCTTAGCAGTCGGATATGATATATGTTTGCACAAATCATGCCAAATCATCAAGAGCAACAAAAGCAATGCTCATGCCAAAGCACATTTGGACCAGGTTGACTCTGGAGGAGTTCTTGGAAGAGGAATCCGGAAGAGGCATGGAAACCAATGTGTTTGGTGATGGTGGTTCCTTGGCGAACTTCCTTCAATGGCTTGCAGGAGACATGCCATCCATGGACTTTGCGTTGGATCAACCCTCACGCAAGAGTGGATGCAGAAATTCTAATCTGGAGGGCATGGAAACGCCTTCAAATGCAGGGTGGATCACATTTAGGAGAGTGCTACCAAGCCTATTGCAGCTTACTACATGCAGGATATTGCAGGATCACTTGACAGTGCCCTTGAGTGGACCAGAAGCCGAAGGGAGTTTTCCCCCAAACTCCAGGGCATGAAGGCTATGTGCTAATTCGACTGGGTTTGCTTATAGTTGGGACTGCAAACTCCTCTCAGTATACTAATATTTCTAGCCATTCATATTAATTAGCTATTGTACACTGTAAGAGGATTATTCATGCCTTGTACCGAGTTGGCTCACAACAAGCGATGCTGTACTGATTGCGTGTGGGTTTCCTGCTGGCTGGACGGAAGAGGCCCGGAAGAGGTATAGATTAGATGGGCCAAAATCCATTCCCAGTACAGACATTGCACAGGCAAGAATCACTCGGTTGATGCAGACCCCCAAGTGAACCGTCGTAGTGAATCAGCGATGGGGTTAGATATTAGGAATATGTTCAAAGGCCAGGTGCATTGCGAGAGAAGATTGCTAGATGTTTTGAATCTTCGGCTGAGACCATTGCGCAGGAGAAGATTTGGTCTTGCTGGCCTTCAAGGGCACTCGCCACGCCATTTTTCCACAACAACGTCGTGGCCCTTTAGTGCGGCTCGTCTTCGGCAGCCCTCCCTGACATCTGAAAATCTTGGGGGGAATACTGTATGACTTTCAGGTTTGTTTCAAGTCAATTGTATGGCATGTCGTGATTTGATGTGATGTTACTGATCCTGTACCTTTGTTGCAGCCTTCTGGCACTCTATGCAACCAAAGCATGTTGCCTGGCACGTGTGCACACTGGACACGCTGCCAGGCACGTGGTTTGTGGTGTCCTGGCGATTGGCGCCTTTCCACTCCTGGTGCAGCTGGGCGCCGAGCGCTTCTTCGGCTATCCCGACCTGGTGGAGTTGCTGCTGGGGCAACGAATAGGGATGGCAGGACGTTCGTTGGCTTCTTTGGGGGGCCATGTTCGTGGCAGAGATGAGGATCATGAGTATCGATAGGCGAAAAAAGGAATGGGGAGATCTCACTTGATGAAGTGAGGGGGAGGAATGGTGTGCTGGAAACTTGTTTGGCCTTCAGGTGGACGGAGAGGGTGTAACATTTTCTGAGGTGTTCTTGTATTAGCGCTAGCTGAGGAAAAGCACCACTGGCACCATCGCAGAGATCGAACTCGATGGAGAGATGAAGGGAGACAGTGACAAAGAATGCAAGTGGGAGGAGGGGGGGCGTGGAGCCCCATGGGTGGGGAAACGTTGGTGTGGTTAGATGGGCTTCATTACCTGGACACTCTCGGGAGAGGAACGTCACCCCCCACAGGAACTCTTATTCGAGATAGATGGACATGGCAAGAGAAACAAGAACAAAACAAACACTTACCTGGGGAAGTTGGGGATATCCCGAAGGGTTGTGTGAATATTGGGCCAATACCACAAAACCCACATGAAAGCCCCCTATTTGGCCTCTGGTTGGGCGCCGTTTGCACTCGCCTTGAGGTTGGTCACTTCGGACTTTGCAGACTTTGGTGAACCCCAAGCCACGGCCCAAGAAGTTTGTCTTCCTCGACGATGAAATGACCGCAAAACTCCAGGTGACCTGGAGCAGCCGCATTGGTCACGTTATGCTTCTTACATCCACGAAAACAGCAATGTAAGAACATGACAATGCAAACTCAAAGTCACAATAGATCACTATATAACAATTAGATGCACGAAACGTGAAACTGACAAACAGGCCCTTCATTCTCTCCCTGAAACAGACTTCCTGAAGCTGGGCCAATTACCGGGACAAACCATGGCAAGTACTCAGTTACATGCAATCGACTTGAATTTGTATAAATAGTTTCCATTCGTACGTGGCAACCAGTGCCATTCCAAGCAGATGGATGCCTAACAACAAAGAACAAGATAGGCCTCCAATTGAGTGGTTTCATCTGGATTGATGCCACATTCATTCGAGGGACCACCACAACTTTTTTTTCAAGGAATTCCCTGCAATGAAGATATTTGGAAGACCCTTGCAGGAGCTTGTGCGGGTTCACGCGCATGCGAGGTGAGGACGACTTTCCGAAAGACCTCGCCACTTGGTATTCCCAATGCTCTCAAAGGTTTTACCATGTTTTACCTCATAATAGTGGTCTTTGGATGGATAATGTTGAAATGTACTGTGCTGTGTATATATATATATATATTCAGAAACCAATACCAAATTCTGCCATAGGAGGACAACGTTTGCTTCGGAAAATTGCTGGGGGGGCCGAGGATGATCCAGCTTTGCTGCGGCGGCATTCCCTGCAGCAGAGGGAAATTGAAACATCGCTTGATCAAGTGCCTCGGGCCAGCATACAGATGGCGGTCCGTTGGATTGTGATTGGACCATGGATCGTAGTCGTGTGGACATGGTGATGGAACTTGGGGTAATACTTTTGCCCTTTCAGAGGCGTCAAGCACAGCAAAGTTAAGCAGGCTTGTGTTGGGGTCTTGGTGGCATTGGCTTTGCTTACAACTCACAACATAGCTATAGCCTTGGCCCATGATAGCTTGTAGTCAGTGACTGACAAATGTGTAGCCCCACACCCAACGTAAATCAGTTTTTTTATGCCTTCAGTGCCATTTCACCACTCCTCTCTAGCTCCTCTGAGATGGATTGACAAGTGACAAGAGATCTCCAATTCCACTGCCACTGATGCAGTCTCATCTGAGCCCTCTGAATTTGGGGTCGTGCACAAAACCCGCAGCGGATGCCGTGGATGAGGTTTTTCGACCAGCCGGTGGATCTGGATGTCCCGCCTGACGTGCCTATTCGTTGCACCCTCACCTTGCAAGGCTTCAGTACCCGTGCAGTGACCGAGGTATCTGGGAGGCACTTTGTGCACTCGGTTTGTGAATGTTTGTGAGAGGATCCTCGAAAGAAAAAACACATTCTGAATTCGGCAACTCTTAGTACGCATAACTTTTGGAAAGGTGCCTATCATTCCATAATTTGGCTCTTGTCAAGAGCCTCCACGGCCTCAATGGCTGTGGGCTGATCAACATTCCGGCCTTCCCCCCATCCAAGTAATTTAATTGACTGGCGCCTGGCGATGTTTTCTGTTCATTGCAGTTTCTTGTCTTATAGTTGAACTGCATAGATCTCGGCGCGAATCAGGAATGGTTTCCCTGCGCTTCGTGCGATTCACTTCGCTTTATCAGTTTGATCATTTCCCGCTCATTCAATGAAAGGCCCCACGTCACTTCTTAGGTCAATTTCTTGCAACCTGCACCTCCCACACAGCATAGCTAACCTTACAGTCAGAAACATTGACATGATGTGCTACTTGGCAGTGTTCAAAAAGGAGTGTACCAGAAACTTGTGTGGTCACGGCCACTCATGGTATTGGCTTCGCGAGTTCTTTCGCCCAGATACCCGTGGAGCTCAAGCCAAAGCGCGACTTGGAATTGGCCGAGATCAAGTGTTTTTTCCTCCTAGGCTTTATGTTCAATATAAAGTCACAACTTTAGGTGGTTCTTGGGATTGGTGGTTCAGGTACCCAATGAGGTCATTTGGCGGTACAGCGTCAATTCCAGGTCCCCAAACCAAGCAACGAAGTGTTAGAGGCGAGGGCTTGGCGTGTTCCCAGAGCATCCCCAGGGGTTTGGTGGAGACCACTGAACCACAAGCTGTGGGCCAGACACTCATCCAACCAGAAAAGCATCAACGCTGGACCCTGGACCCCTCAAAATCATTTTGGAAATAGATGCAGAACTCAGACACCCTGTGTAGCAAATCCAGGCCAAGCAACAGCAAAAGTGGCGGTAGAATCACAATGTGTCTAATTGTCAAGTCTCTTGATTTAAACGCTCCGCTGCAGGTGTCCACGGTTGATTACATTGAATATCCATGAGTAACATGTCTCCTTTGTGCTCTGAGTTAAGGAACCTTCAGATTCAAATCCAAACCTCTGACGCAATTCGACTTCAAGGGCTTACCATTCTGCTTATGCTTTGTCCAAACCCAGAACATACAAACATAACAGCATCGCTCAAACTGAGGAGAGCATCACTTGTGTGACTGCATGCGGGAGGGCTGCCAGTGCTGCGATGGATACAGCGGATCATTAAGCTTTCAATTCGTGAGGTCGCGGATGCTTGGAGTCCAACGAGAAAGCAACGGCTCCTTTCCAAAGTGAAAGACAAATAGGCAGAAGGTTCTGGAGAGAAATGCAACAATCCTCCAACATTGAACCCAACATGTGGGAAATGCATCAAGATTTGTTGCCGTCATAAAGCTCAGTGCGCCAGGTGGGACTTTCGGCGGGTGAAAGCCCAGAGGAGCTTCCCTTAATTACATATATTTAAAGGCTTACGCCTAACAGCCGGGCGCCGGCCCACTTGGGTCTGTGGGGCGTATGTCACGCCTATGTTGGCCTTGGTGGGGCCTATATTGAGCAAAGTTAAGCTATCTGGCGCGCATCTTCGCCCTAGGTTGGGCCAAGTTGGGCCCATGTGGTCTATGTTGGGCACATCTTGGGCCCATGTGGAGCCTATGTTGTGCCTATGTTGGCCTATGTTAGGCGTATGTTGGCCTATGTTGGCCTAGGTTGGGCCTAGGTTGGGCCTATGTTGGCGTATGTTGGCCCCATGTTGGCCTACCCCAAAACTTGTCGGTGCACACTCCACATTCTCCTGAATCTGGCTTTACCTCAACTATTTCCAGGTTCTGGCTTTAGCAGGTACGTACAACTTGGCGTTGTTCTGCCGTTCAACCTCAACCGTTTCTGACAACTACCTGTTTTTTTCCATCGAAGCATCATAAACATTCAGAAACTAATGCAACAACCCAATCGTACTAGAATATTTTAGCCGTTGGCAGGTCTAGGCTCCGCCTGGCGCCTTATCTTCGCCTGGGGCACGCGTGGGACCACTACGCAAGATTGGGGTTGCCTCGTTTTCCACACCAGGTCCAGGGGGTGCGCAGGGGGAGTCGAACCCGGGACCCCAGCCTGGACACCGCCTGTACCGCGAAAAAAACCCGACGGTCCCCACTCCTCTTCAAACATGACCAATGTCCAAAATTTGTCAAATTTTGTCAAATTTTTCGCAAAGCGCTGGTTGATGGACAAGCCCCAGCTATACCTATGCCGAACTATTCTCAGGAGCACGCCGTCCCCGTTCCGCTCACGCTCACGCTCTCGGTGCTAGAACGGGGTCGGCGGATAATATAAAAAATATATATATATATATATTACATTGTATTACATAGCCTGTTTTATTCTGGAGAGGGGAGCGCTGTGAGCGGCGCGTTTTTCGATGAAAATGAGCATTTTTCAACCTTTTTCATGTGTTTTCTTGAGAATGATTGATGTGTCTGACATTGCCTGGAAGGATCTGCCTGGAAGCGCCCAGATGTTAATCAGTAAGATCGGTCAAGAAACCTACAGTGATTATGAAAAAATGAACCAAAAATGGAATGATAAAATGAATGACTTTACAAGAAACTTAAATGATCACTTTAAACAACATAGAACACTATATGCTGAAGAAAAAATGTAGCAAACAAGGAGAGGATAGAAGACCGCAGGGGCTTATGGAATGCCTATTCATCACCAAGTGGATTTTACAAAACAGGTAAGACTTTATACATAAGTGGCACAGGTGGTCGTGATGGATCTTTAACAAGGGATATTATGGATGATCTGTTATTAGTACCTACGAGAAATGTTCATCACAGTGAGGAATACAAACATGTTATAGAAGAATTGGAAAAGTCACCAGAACTTGATTGCCGGTAACTTCTGATTTGAAAGATGTCACCCGAGTTTAAGTTGGCAAATTCAATTAAGCAATTCCCAGAAATACCCAGAATTTGAAGCACACTCATTATCATAAACCTTTTACTATTTAAGAAGAGAGCTATACATTACATGAACCCAGATCAAGACAGTTTAAGTTTTTCGTATCGTCAATACAGAGAGAACAATTCTGCACAGACCATGGGGGGAAGAGGGGGTGAGGCAAAGTCCTTGGACAATTGTTTTTTTTTCCCGAATGCGTAGCGAAGGGTTCCCGTTTATAGTTGGGGGTCTGGGGGTTGGAGCTGTGTTCGCGTGGCTTGCGTCGTGTCGTCGTCTCTCGTCGTCTGTCGTCGTCTCTCGTCGTTTGTCGTCGTCTCTCGTCGTCGTCGCGTCTCAAATTTGCTGCCATTGGGGGAAGCTTTTGCAAGTGACTTTGCATGGATGTGTCACGTGTCAGTTTGCGACGCTATTCCATTGTGATTTGCATGACAACGACATGTCGCGCAAGAAACGTGATGCATTTCGCTGCACAGGCGCAGCGTTTTGTGAGATCCGCAGATTGCCGCGCAGTTCCATTGGGATTAGCGTTTGGAGAGTCGTGTTTTTGGGTGTTGGATGTGGCCGTGCCATTGGGATTTGCGTTTCAGGGTGTGGCATCGAAGCTCTGTTTTCGTGACAAGTCTCAGCTGAAATGGCGATTTTGATGGATGGGAGTGTGCTCTGAACGGGTCGAACTCATTCCAAACGTGTGGTGTGGTGCAAATTTTGTTGCAGCTCACATGCGATGATATTGTCACTTTTCGTGGCAGGCGCAAGACTTCGTGCGGGCTTTGAAGCGTGGAAGTGCAATTCTCGTGGCAGGCGCAGGGACTCGTGAGGTTGCTAGGTGTGAGGGAGGTGACACTTCGTGGCAGGCGCAGTACTTTGTGCGCGTTAGACGTGTGGATGGGGAAAGATTCGTGGCAGGCGCAGGGAATCGTGAGGTTGAGTTGTGGTAGAGGTGAATGTCGCTGTCCCATTGGGATTGGCGTGTGAGCGGATGTTGTTTGGAGGGGCTGGAATCGCGAAACTGCTTGGCAGGGCTATGTGTGTGCTCCGATGGGTGTTTCCGCTTGACTTTTGGAGGAAGTCTCAGTCTCGTACGAAACGCTCGTTTTGCAGACTTTGACGTGTGAGTTTTTGAGGAAGTCTCGTACGAAACGCTCGTTTTGGAGACTTGACGCGCAACCCTCTGCGGAGATCGTGCGTGTCGAGTGCACCAAATGCAGGCGAGAGTGCGATTTGTCCCATGCGCGCGCAACCCTCTGCGGAGATCGTGCGTGTCGAGTGCGCGAAATGCAGGCGAGAGTGCGCTTTGTCCCATGCGCGCGCAACCCTCTGCGGAGATCGTGCGTGTCGAGTGCGCGAAATGCAGGCGAGAGTGCGATTTGTCCCATGCGCGCGCAACCCTCTGCGGAGATCGTGCGTGTTGAGTGCGCGAAATGCAGGCGAGAGTGCGATTTGTCCGTTGGACCTGGAGCTGGAAGCTGAGAACTGGCGACCTTGTAGTACAACTGTAGTACGTGGAGTATCTGGGGAGCTGGAAGCTGAGAACTGGCGACCTTGTAGTACAACTTTAGTACGCGGAGTATCTGGGGAGCTGGAAGAGGGTCCCACAAGAGTGTCCCGCAACAGTGTCCCACTAGAGTGTCTCAAAAGAGTGTCCCTTAAGAGTGTCCTACAGGAGTATCCCACAAGAGTGTCCTACAAGAGTGTCCCACAAGAGTGTCCCACAAGAGTGTCCTACAAGA